GGGTGGGGCAGGCTGTGGAACTGAGTGGCTATGTGTGGTGGTGGCTGCCTTTCTGCTGCCGATCAGCTGATCGGAGGCCAGTAGGCAGAATGGTGTTTTGTTTTTGGTTTTTTTAAAATATGAAGGACGAATAAAAACAGGTAAATATTTGTCCCTTCATATTCGTGAGGGTCTCTGGAATCCACAAATACGGATCGATGAATATTTAATGAATCGGCTATATTCGTCAGAAAAAGCGATGTGTTTTTATTTTTGTCCCCATCTCTAGTCCAGATGGTTGGAGTGTTCCTAGAAGTTGAAAAGCCAAATAGCACATTTTCAAAGTGGTATCAACCATGTCAGTGGTAAAGGCTGACAGAATGAAATAGCCCGAAACAAAACATCCAAATATCATTAAATTTTCTCATGGTAAACTTAGCATTACTTTGACTTTGTCTTCAAGTAATATATTGAGAGAATGTGACGGGACGTAAAAGAGCTAATGTGTTCTTATTAATTGCCAAAGCTAAAAAGGACACTGCTTAAATCAGTCACTTACACTGAGTGGTGGCTGAATTGCTGGAAGCCCCAAAGTGATGTTGGGCAAAGATGGGGATGTGTAGAGACTCAAAAGGTTCATTGATTCTTCATTGATGAGAATGTGTTGTGGAGCCAAATGCTGTGGAAATTTTAAAACAAAGAAGGTCATATTTATAGCTTGGAAATATTTGGACTACACTCTCCAGAATCCCCAACCAGTATAGTCGTGTCATGGCCCAGAACTTTCCCCAGCTTCATACTCCTTTTAGATCCCAGCTGATTCTCTTTCCTCCTCATGCCCAAAACTCATCAATGATAACATTTAGAAGTGGCCTCTCTCTTCTTCACCCAGGCCTTATGGGAATCAGGAAGCAATGTACCCTTTTTCTGCATGCCTGAAGCTGGAAAAGTTTGAGGTATGAAACACATTGCAGACCACAAAGGAAGGGCTACATTGATTTTTGTAGGTCACAAATGACGGAGGCCAGAAACTAAAATCTGCCTCTTTCTCACAGTAAAATAGTATAATTCAATTCTTCCGAAAATCTCCGATGTATAAATATGAGATGTTGTGCTTCTGTGTCCACAATTCAAATTGCAGGAAATGGCCCAATATTGCTGCATAATGTTGTGTCCATGTTGCTAACAAGAGAGGATGCCAAACTTTACATAGCAAAGGGCAGCAGGATACTCTTTTGTGTTCACTGCCATTTACAGAGAAACAGCAAGCAGGGGAAAATCTCAGAACCCGATTCCTTTTTTCATCCGTTAACCATTTCTCACCCAAAGACAGAGCAATTGCCAGGGCTGTTTTTTTGATAAAGAAGGTATCCTGTAGACCATCTTGACTACAGACATTGGTGTCATCAACATTCAGGCCACCCTGTGCTATGTAAAATTTGGCATCCTTTTTCTTTGGATTACAATATCCCATATTAAATAACCCAGATTTTTTTTAAGAATTGAATTTCCTGGCTATATATATACCAGACACAAATTCGAACAGAAACTTCCTTCATGTGGAATTACCCAAAGCTAAAGGATCCCAGAAGATGATCACATGACCTGTACTGTGGTTGCTGGGAGAGGGCAGAACCAAAAACCTGGGATGTGGCTGCAGACATTTTGTGTCAAAATATTTTGAAGGGCTGTTTTGGATTTAATGAAATATTTAAGCATAAGTGTGAGTGAATGCAACATATACGTACAACAGCGAAGAAGACTCACTGTTCAACCTCTCAGAGAAACTAATGTTTTTATGCTTGCTCTGCAGAATGCAGACTAGAAAGCTGTTTTCCAATTTCCAAACCCCTGCTCTATAACCATGTTGCCTTCATGTTTTTCAAAAGATGATCTCTTGCCTTTTGAAATAAAATAAAAGGGGGGGGGCTGGGAAACTGCAAAGATCGGCCCAAACTGTCCATATTATGCAAAAGAGTGACAGTAAAGAAAGACAGGAAGGGGAATCAACTCATTTGAAATGTGGTGTTGAAAGTGAGCCTTACAGATACCAAAGACCACCAGAAAAGGAATCCACAGCTGTTAGACTGTAAGAAGATATTATGCCAAGTGATTTTCAAAATTTATCTAAGAAGATCGTCACCTCTGGTTGTGAACATGAAAAGGAGCTCTCCCCCATCCCCTCCCCCATCAAGGTTGTTCCAATTTATATTTATCCTGTTCTGCTTCCTTTCAGAGAGCTGTTTAATGATAGGGCATTGTGAAGCTCATTAACACATACATTATAATCAGCACACATCAAAAAATTACTTGATACCATATAACATCTTTGGAGTTTGTTTTAATTACCAAGCAACTGTATAGTGACAAATTGGGCAGAATGGAGACTATGAGAGGATACAAGTACCAAAGCTCTGGTAACATCATGTAAGATCATCCTCAGCCAAAAAGCAAAAACCAGTAATTTCAAAGTGAGATTCTGGATATTAGTTCTGTATTCTTTTAAAATATGTTTTTTAAAAATATTTTAATATCTGTTTTTTGTTTGTAATTTTTAATATTCCTTTTGTGTCTCCATTTTTATAACCAGACACAGCATCTCCTTGCAAGCATGAATCTGATAACCCACTTTGGCCAGGAAGGTGTTAAAAAATTCAAAAGATAGCTAAAAGTCAGCTAATTGAGTCCTGGATGACAGGGTCAAAAGTTCAGATTGCCCCAGATATGAAACTGATTTCCCCTTTGAAAACTTATGTGAGACTGCTTTCAGAAATCCTGCGAGAATGATTACTGAACAAAATACAACTGCTCTTTGTTTTTCTAAGGTAAGGGGAAATACTTTGAAAAATTGTATGTTAATTCCTTGATTATGCATTGAAAAATATCTCCCTTTGTGGAAGATTGTCACTCTATCACTTTTTTAAAAGCAAACCTGTGTTTTTAAACTCTTTAAAGAAAACCTGTCTTTAGTTGCCCTGCTGTTCTCAAAACATCTTTCTCCTCTGTCCACTGCCCAAATTATACAATGTATAATTTTGTGCAGCTCTGTCTGGCAAACCTGTACCATTTATGCTCAATACTATAACAAAGTCCTTGTTTTTCTCTTTTGAAAAGGCCTTTTTTGAGGATCACTATTTCATCTCTTTCAGCCTGCATTCCTTCCAAATAAAAAATGGGTGGAGCCAACGATTTTGTTTCAAGATAAGTAAGATTGGCCTTTTTCAATTTATCTGATCTATTTCAAATTTGGGGTTATTTCCTGTCTTCTATTTCTAAACAGAGGGCAAAATGGTTTTACTTTTTAAAAAAACCAGAACTTGAAAACCCTCTGCCCTAACTTCCCCAGATTTGACACAGAGCAAGGGCAGACCATCTGCTAGAACTCTGCCAAATGTGGCACTGATCCAAAGTCCAGTTTCAAAGCTTTTGTTTGGGCTGCCCCCATTTTTAGAATTGCCTTGTAGAATGTTGATTTGCTCTGCTGCACATAAATGCTTTGTTTTGTTTTGTCTGCCTGGAAGCACAGGAATTCTCTCAATCTGTGAGCACTGCAATCTTTCAAGTCAACCATGGACTCTACACACAAATCCATATCATCACCGTTTTTTAAAATGAATCTCCATTTTCTCTAACATTTGAATTAGCTGAATGTTTCAGATATCACCAAGATCATTAGGCCATTCAAATGCTATATCATTATCAGAATCAGATAATCACATGCATGAGTGTACAAATGTCAAATATAAATCCTCACTTCACTTATTCTTATAGGTGAGAAAATATACATTTTTCCTCTTTATCTGCAAGAGAACATTTTGTTTCTGTTAGTTAATGAGAATTTTGCATTCCAAAGAAAGAATTCTGCACAAGTTGCACAGGTTACACGAACTGCCTAGCGAAACTGTGAAAGATATTGTGTTTAAAAATTAGAAGCATTCTACTTTTAAAAATTAGAAGCATTGGGTGCATTTTTCTCATTAGCCAGCTAGTCCATTTGTACTTGCTCTCTGTATTTATTCATGCATGTGTGCATGCACAATGTGTATGTGTGTGTATGTACACACACCTGAGTGCATGTTTGGTTTACGAAAAGCAAGTAATTTAGCAAGATTTCTTCTCACCCACAACGGATGTACAATATTATTATGACCTCTCTAATCAGAGTCTGCATATTGATATAAACTCACTTTTGCCTTTTTCTTTTCTGATGTGCATGTTCTTCAAAAAGTAGTCTGCTACAGCTTCTGAAATTGGCTCTACTTTGTTGTTTAACTCCTGCTCCATGCCAGACCTTCTACACAATAAGAGCTACAAAAGGTCTTATTAGACTTTAGAACTCTGGCATGATATGGTCCTCAAGGGAACAACATCCTTGAAAAAGAATACCCTGTGTAACAGTATGACACAGTAACTGCTTTCTTCCCAAACAAAAAGCATATGGGACTCCAATAATAGACCACCTCCATGAGGGATCCTGTGCACTCAGGCTTTGACTAAAATAAATATAATAACTTGTCAAGCATGTTGTGGGGAGCTGTAGATTTTCCTCTGGACAAACCTGGGATATCAATTAACGCTGGCAAATACCTTAGGTTAATACAATGCAACCTCAGACTGTCACTAAAGAGTCAGGCAGCACAAAAACACAGGATGTTATTCCAAAACATAACCTTCCCGTATAGTTTGTTTGGAGACTAAACCTATCACTGACATAATAACAGAACAGTCTATAGCTCTCATCCATCTCCAGCCTCAGAATTCTTGTAAACTAAAAGGGAAGCATGCAAAATCAAGATTTAATGTTTATATTAGAAGAATCGCATTAATTCTCAATTTCACTGATGCCTGATTAAACAAGAATTGCATGCAAAACTCTCAGCAAAGTTAGATTTTCAATTATAACCATGTAAAACTATGACAATTATGATAAGGATAATAATAAAGATTATAATAATGATAATAATGTCGTACTGAGAAATACTGGTTGACACCTCTTACATATGGAATACATGGAAGCCCAGAGCAGCTTGTGAAGAAAACATTTGCTTGTTTGCTCTGCTACTGTATGGTTGAAAGGTCTCAAGGTTCTAATTAAAGTCTCAGGTTATTGTTATGTTTCTCTAGGTCTTCTAGTGAATTGTGTTGCAGAAAGAGAAAAATTGGGTATTGTATGTGAGGGTTTATGTTGTACAACCTTTGCAACATCAGCACATAACCTAGAGTAAAAAAAAAACAAACAAAATACTTGAAGTGATGGCAACAAGCTTACCCCAAACACTCAAAACCATTTGGGGCCATGAAGAACTCCCCACATGTCATATGTTGTGTAGGTAAGGCAGCAAGCGAAGTGAACTCTAGAGGAACGGCAGCAACTGTTGCAGCTGTTGGGTGCATTTTACCTTCTAGTTGGCCATCAAAGTTGTTTCTTTTCTTTGGATTTCCAGATTATCTGATTCGTCGGGTTTTACTATTTACCTTGATTCCTCTCATGATTTGTACTTCATATGTAATGAAATATGAAATATTTATATGCAGAATCGATTCTGCTCCCCGCTCACCCCTTGCCTGCTTTGCATCCATGGCATTGCAGGAGCCTGTAACCCTTGTGTTAGTACAAAGATGCAGATGACATCACAATGGTGTGTAACCTATTCTCAGGTTCTGACCCTGAAATCTCAG